GTGTCCAAATAAACTTGATTTTAACAGGTAAATCAGTTGATTAACGACTTTATTTCGATTATAGAACAGCCTTTATGAATATTCAGTAAAATTCTTTTTTTGTATATGGTCATTTTAGCTACACTAAGGTCTGAAATTATTCATCTATCATTGCTATCTTTATTTATGATCTCTTTAATTAAAACGGATTTAATATTGCTTGCGTAGCTGGCCTGTCGATAACTCTTAATCTGAGGCAAATAGAAGGTTGGAGTACATGATAGCATATTAATGCACAGAAACGTTTTTAAAATGTAACCAAATAGAGCATTACATCGTTGTAGGTTCATGTCTTAAGTTATGTTAATGACTATAAGACCTGTTCACTTTATATCCAGCATATAGCAGGGTATTTATATGTCTAATAGTTTTGGGATTCTTAATGTTTTTTATTTTAGGCCAGGAAAGTAATCTGAAATTACAGGTTAATTATTGATCTTCTTAATTATATGAGAAGGTGCATCAGATATAAACTCTACATTTGCTTTAGATCTAAAGTTAAAATCTTCAAATTCAAATTCTATCCCTTTGTCCATTATGCATTTATGAACTTTTCATGGCTATCATTAGCAAGGCGTACATTTGGTGAAATTCATTGATCTTCCTTAGACTACTATCCTCTATGTACCAAAAGTAACTTTTTCGAATTTTTTGAGATAATTACATTGCGGCCGAGTTTAACTCCCTACCTGGCGCTAGCTTCACAAAGCTCAAGTATACATTGTAATCTAATAAGTCGCGAGCTGGCTTACTTAAGGTTTAATTTTACTATATATGCAGAGATTATGTATTTGTTGTCTACTTTATATTCTCATAGCATGTTAATAGTGATAGCAATTAGTATTGCACATTTTTCACCTAATACTAACTCAAATTAAAGGAGTGGGCAAGGCTTTTATTCTTTAATCACATTTCTAACATGGCTACCGTACTGGCTTCATCGGTAATTGTGTCATCCCAGCAATCTTTCGGTATCCTAAATTGTATAACCTTGGCGCAATGCTGCTAAAGTGCAGAATTTTACGCTTTCTATAGGTTTCTTTTTCTTATTTATTGTCTTCATTAGGAAAGGATCTCGGATCGACTCATCTTAAATCTCTATATCAATTTTTTATAACATATCTCGAGAGATCTTAAATATTCATCTAACTCAAATAATAAATATACTACAAATCTCCTTGTTCTTATTTTACTAGGAATAAACAGTTTTCGATATGCTAACGAGCTGCGAGACAGCTTCAATCTAGCCAACGGTGCTGGTGGCCGAGGCCGTTTCTCATTTTCTTTCGATGCACATCGCTCCACTATATCAAGTAGCCTTGATCAGCGGCATTCAACGCCTGATCGATGTTCTGTGCACACGCCCTGCAACCATATCTTGCTCCGAGGCAGCCAACTAGACGCTAGAAAACCGAGTCGGCGCGTTAGCTGCACAACGGGAGAATGTATCCCCGACCTTAGAGCTAAAACCACAGGTCCCTCTTCTTCCTCTTCCTTAATCTCTTGTGCCTTGGATGCTCAGTCAGCATTCCATCTAGCTGATCTTGTAACGGGTCAAGATGAGATTAAATGCCAAAGAAAGGTTTCTCTTGGTACGTTACTTTCCTTCTTCTTTTCCTTTCTGATCTCAAACTTCGAGAGTAATTTACAGGCATTTATTTCATAGACCGTCTCCATGATTATACTTGTTTTCTGTTTTAGAGAACGCTACAATTAGAGATGTGAAAGTCACTGTCCGAATCTACAACAAATCCCATTAAGCGTTGCAGCGGGAGGAAAGGGCATTATCTCAAATGGCTCAAAATGAACAAGCCCAATCATGAAGATTGCCCATGAAGCCAATGCTTGGCCATGAGATTTACCAACCAGATTTACAAGTATAAACGTCGGATTGAGTTAGCCTTATAGTTATGCTTGAGTTGAACGATGGGTGAAGTGATAAATGGAAGGAACAAGGCCATAGTCAAATTAGAGGTTGTTGTACGAAAGGCTAGGATTCTATCCTAGCGTTCTCTACTCTTTCTCAGCTAAGTTGTCTCCCAGCACTCGCTTTATACAAAAAATAAGTTTGAATATATCTTATTCGGTCTACTAATCCGAGCCTACTAGCAGACCGTAATCCCTTATAACGAACCGAAATTCATATCACTCATTGGTTTAAGCAGGGTAATCTTATTATGACATACCTCCGGAAATTTGATTACCCTGCGGCGACTGCCCCCTTTTTATTATCACGTTTTTTCGTGTTTAAATAACCTAGTTCTCAACCACCTTGTTTTTATATCGTAGATATGAAGACCAAGATAGTGTTGCCTTTTGTTTGGTCGCATTATCCTTTAGTTGTATTTTGTTGGTTTAACCTCGTTTTTGTAACGTGGTCGGAGCGACAAGGTTACCTTATAGGACTCATCTAGCCCTGCATCGCATGTCATAATCTTCTTGTTGATCTCCAGCATCGAACTGTTGACTTGGCACAGTCCCAGATGTTTCGCCAGCATCGTAGTCGGCATCGTCAGTGAAAGGCGCCATCCGTTAGCACAGAGTTACAACTTATCAGTGACAAAGTTGTAACTTTGTGATGAGGATTATGCCTCTCACTGGCGATGCTTACTATAACGCTGTCGAAAAGTCTGGGAATGTACCAAGTCAGCCGTCCAATGATGGAAATCATCCTGCAAACGATGCATGATTGGGTATCTTCTACAGGGTCTCCCTGTCGTTCCGACTAAGGTACATAAGCGAGGCCAAACCAACATATTTTTTAATCGAAGATATGAAGACCAAGATGGCGTGGCCTTTATGTGGTCTCAGTCTTCTTTCGTTGTATATAGGTTGTTTGACCTTGTTTTTGCAACCTGGTCATATTGGTAAGAACGCACCTAGTCCGGAGTCCAATGTATGCGTGATAATTTACAAAGTCGGACCGTAGACGTGGTACATTCCCAGACGTTTTGTCGGCATTGTCAGTGAGTCTTGCCATTCTTAGCACCACACTACAACTCGTCAAGGAAACAAGTAAAGCCGATCCTTTGATCAAACGTGTGCTAAACAGTTGTGGTATCTCTTCTTCTGCCCTATGCTATTCACATTTCCTATATCCTCGTATCACGCCTACACTGTTACAAATTTACCGTGCTTATTTAGATGTAGTGTAGTGTGCTCCTTTGAGCGGCATTCATGAAAACCCTCTTCACTCTACGCAGGCGCTCTCACTCCCCCTTCACCATTGTGCTGGCAATGTTGATCAGAGTGCCATATTGTTATGCCGTCATTCTTCCCTAGGTCTTATCAGAGTCTCTCTTACCCCGTAAAATCAATCAGCTATCTCCCTGGTTCACGTATTCTACTCGACCCCTTCCACTCCATCTGTGCTACTCGAGGCATTATTATTCCTCCCCTGCGTCTGGGTGACTAATTCGAGGCTAAAGCCTCTGAGTAAATCGCATAGTCACGCTTTTGCTACATGTACCACATCTCTGATAAAACCTACTTTTAGCTAACAAGCTCTAGTCTCCACCGCGTTTATCCTGTTTCTATCCGTAATACCAAGTCTATGACTTGCTATACCCTAGTCTCTTGCGTGCCAACCTACAAACGTTGTGGTTCAACATTGAACCTAATCAAAGCAAGCAGTACCACAACATTTATGGGTTGGCACAGAGGAGGAAGACATAGGAAGCCTTCGACTTGGTATTAGGGCTAGAAACAAGATAGACGCGGCAGAGACTAGAGCTTGTGAGCATACTGTAAGTTTTACCAGAGACGTGGTCCATTTAGCAAAGGAGTGGTCATGGGACTTATTCAGAGGCTTTAGCCTCGAATTATTCACCCAGACGCAGGGGAGAGGTAATAACGCCTATATTAGGACAGATGGGGTGGCAGGGGTCGAGTGAAATACGTGAATCAGGGAGATAGCAGACGGATATTACGGAGCAAAAGGAAGACTCTGATAAGACCAGGGGAAGGAGGATTGCGTAACAATATGGCAGACTCTGATCGACATTCCCAGCACAAGAGTGAAGGGGCGGGTGAGAACGCCAGCGTAGAGTGTGGAGGGTTTTTATGAATGCCGCCCAAAGGAGCACACCACACTATCTAAATGAGCACGGTAAAAATTGTAACAGTGTAGGCGT